TTGTATGCACTACAGGTATCTGTAACAAACAAAAAATACAAGTCGTATCATTCAATCGTATTACGTATACTAGATATTCCCAATGTAAAACTTATAATAACATAATACATACAAGTCTTCAAATGTCACGGAACACCTTATTTTTTGGTAGTATACTAAGCTTATAAACTAATTTATATCTATTTTATTTTATTTCATTGTTATTATTGATTTTTACCAAACAATAATAATTTTAAGTTTTTTTATAGTTTTATCTGTTAGTAGCCAGATTTAGATGGGCTATCGTTTGGAACTTAAAATATGGCAACGTATACATTAAATTTGTTTTTTTTAATTAAGAATAATTTACTAAAAATAACTAGTTGTCAGTGATTAATTTTTAAAGTTATTATAAATTTAGGACGGGATGAAGAGTGGAGTGTTATTGTACTATTTTTTCCTGGTCACATTATTCAACCGCACAGATACCTGCAGTCTTAAATTGTATATAAGTAATTTATTTTTATATATTTAGTACATCATTAAAAAAATCAGGTGGGCAATGAAATTCTGAAGACCCTGTAAATTCGAATAAAATTATACACACTATAACATTAGAATAGTTTTTAAAAAATAATATCAAACCTGTATACATCCGGCGACATCGTCTCGAAATCGTATATTATTTCACGAATGGATATCGTGGAAGTGGGAGGCCTCGCTCGACATCCAGACGGACATTGGAGAGTTACCGGATCCGGTATACCGGCGCAACAGGTGTGGTGACCGTAATGAAAAGTCGCTTTTCTCTCGTCAAGGCACATATACACTCTCGTTTGGGATTGGACGTGACCGAGAAAAACAGCTTGTACGAAAACCCGTGGGTTATGGATTTTGAATAACCGACATAAAGGGTCGGGGACAAGACACTCTGGACAGATCGCAGACCACCCGCGCACAGGACCGCGCACAAGACCAGCGACAACAGACAGTACCTAAACGCATCCCCAGCTACGTTCTTAAGCCAAAAACGCCACTATACGACGGTTATACCATCAGATTTGCTTTTATCTATTTCCAATCACATCAGAAAACGTAACGTGTACTGCCCAAACACGCATTTGGTGAGGGTAGGGCAAGAGGGAATTTGCCCTCCAAAAATACACTTTATAACCTAGGATAGTGTCATTCGCTTATACGGTTTCAAGAATAGCACAAATAGAGAAAAGTATCAGGGGGGGGGGTTTAAGTCCTATCAAAATATTTATTATTATCCCTTATTCCTCCATAAAATAGTGTCAGATAAATGCCTGATATTGCCTTTGTTCTCGATTTCCTTAAATAAATATTTCAACTGTATAATCTAAGGCAATAATCAATTATCATAAATTATTACAGTAGGTATCTACTTATTGGAGTCGAAATTATCGAAATAATAAAATTAAATGGTTAACCATTTTCTGTATGGAAAATTTCAGTACAAACTAAAAAAAAAACAATTCTCATCTTTGTATCAAAGCTGAAAATCAATATTTTTAATTATATTTTATAAAATAGTAAAAAATACGTGTATTTGTTTTGTCAATTGAGTACTTGTTAGTTCATTTTCATTGTTCTTAAACGCAATTGATGCAAATATTCTATTATTCTATTATCATCGCCAATTAGAAGTTAAGCGATTTACTGTAATTATTGGTAATATTACTTTATTAAATAGTATAATTCTCCAGAAAATGATACTTTTACATTAAAGAAGTATTAAAATTCTACTAGAACATGTTTAAAATTAAAATAAATGTATCAAATTTTGTATGAATGCACAATTAGGAGTACAATAATATACCTATACGATCATTATTACGATCTTAATAGGTTTATGTTTGTCATTTGTGGAGAGCCATCAGCCACGGCCTTGTCATAAAAAGATTTGTTTTAGAATATGTGCTAATTCCAAACATAGGTATTTGGATATTAACGAATATTTCGAATCTTTGGCATTCACGAAAAAGTAAAAACTAGTTCAAAACTATACTCTGTTCAAGTTAAGGAATATACTCGGCGGCCAAGTTAATAGACCACGCCCCTAGCATACAAGTTAGTCACCGAGGTATATTTCTTAACTTGAATGTTGTATTACTTAATAATAAGAAAATAATTAGTGGACAATAATTAATATTTAACCGCTCGAGGCTGTCGATTATGTCAACTGAATAATGTTGCGGCAATTTAGCGACACTATTATAGTTACTAGGCATACTATTATACCTAATGGAATTTGTAAACCATACACACCTTAAGCACCAACCTAATAAAGTGTAAAATATATATATATATATATATATATATTATACTATAAAAATACATGAGCATAATTCAAATTTCTTCAACCGAGAACAAATCGATTATTAATTTTATATTATTTAGTTAGAAAATTAAATAATAATTAATAGTTTTACATTATTTGTATTTTCTAAACAAATAGTCCTATAAGGCCTTGATAATAATATTATTGAGTTTGCACTGTGCTACTGTACTAATCAGTTATGGTGGTTTTTGATACAAAAGTTAACATTAGAAGTACATTATAAGTATTAAGTATAAACTTATTTCTTATAAAGTACAAACGAAAAAACAGTTTTTTGAGTCCCCGTTTATACATTTTTTAAAAACTAGAATATTTATATTTATACATTTAAACATAGAATATAGCGTAGATGGTATCACGTCGCCGAATTACGTTGAATAATATAAAATATGTGGTTTGACGTATCGACTACTTTTTCTTGTTATTTGTTATCATTGTAAAATCGTTAAAAACATTTTTTTTAAATATTGTAAAATAATAACAGCTAAAAGCCGATGTGTCAAACCACAGAAGAGTAGATGAGTAATTCAAAACACTTTTCAGAATTTAAATCGGATAAAATGTGTTCTTGGAATGATGGAAATGCCAAGGGTCTATTTACGCCCAATTTTATTAGTCACAAGGCCCCTTAATTGGAGTGATGAAATTAAATTAAAGCAAATCAAATCTTAAAAAACGTTGTAAATTGTAAGCAAACGAAGTAAAACATATATTTTGTTTGCAAGGTCTAAACCAACTTTCAAGTCAGTTCATAGCATCGTTTTAAAAAGAAACCTCAGATAGATATTTGTTTTCAAGGGCTCAATATTTTAGAATATAATTAACAAACACTAGGTATATAGCTCAGTTAATGGAACAGACCATCAAACCCCCATGACGTTTTTTAATTGTATAGGTGTATTATGACAATCTTATAATTGAATTTAGCATTGAGTATCATAATGATCAATATCCGCATAGCGCGGAAAATTTTTAACAATAAAAAAAAATCTATATATCTACTTTATTTTGTAGGCAAAACGGTAAGGCTCTCACTCTGAAAACAATAATTAGTTTGATAGTGTAAAAAAGTCCAAATTCTAATATTAAGTAATTTAAACTGTGTTTAATAAAATAAATCAAGGTCTGAGTTTTTAAATTAATAATTATTTGCGACTGCTTTGATCTTGTTAAAATATTATACCCAGGGCGGGATTTAGGACTAGGCTACCTAGGCTGTAGCCTAGGGGCGCCACAACTTGAGGGGGCGCCGCGGCCGGCAAAACTCTTAATTTTTTTTTTTAAATGTATAATGCCTATCTCTTTTTTATTAGCCTAGGGGCGCCTCTTAGTTAAATCCGGCCCTGATTATACCTAAAAGTTAACAATTTATTGTAGGTATATAAGTATAGGTAAGCATTGTACGTCTCGATTACCGAAAACAATTAGTCAATATATTCAAACCCTACTTATAATAGCACAAATATAATGGAAGCTCCAATTATGTTACAGAGGTGGCCAATGGGCAAGGCCGTCTAAGACTATGTAGGAGCCCTTGGGCACGCAGAGTTTGGGGGCCCTTTAAGAAAACCGGAAATATGTAAACTGTATTATTCGAGCTGTATAATTAGTTAAGATTTATAAAAAATATCATTTGGGAGATTTAGAGGTATACCGAAAAAAAAGTGGATGGATGTAATAAATAAATATATCGAGCTGTGCGAATGGAAAAATATTGATCGATAAAATATTGTGGAGAGAGCGGATTTGGCTTGTCGATCCCATTTGTAAGCGATAAGTGAAGAAAAATGAGAGTTTACCACACATATATTATATATTTACAAGACGGATCCAAAGATTTTTACTGGAAGGACAGTTTTTAGTTCCCCGCCTAGAAAAAAAAACTGGAATTATATATTAGGTTCGGTACAACAAAAGTGTGTACTATATTTTAGGAAAGCATGACGATATGTGATAGTGAAAATACCATTTTTCCCTTGTGGGAAAAGTTGATATTAATATAAAAATTCATAAATTTCAAAGTGCAATAACTGAGTAATTTTTATTAGCTACAAAGATGTACCAGCCTACCAGGTCTTAAACTATTCGAAAATCAATGAAGATTAAAACAAATAAAACTTATACCGTTTTGAAAAATATCAACAGGAGGTCCCTAATTATTGCTTTCCGCATCACATATCTGATGGCTGTAATATTACATATTATTCAATTCCAATCTTAATTTTAAATTGAAAAAGTATTATTAAGTTATTTGTATTTAGACGGGATTTTCTAAAACCAAGAGAGCAATGTTGCCCAAATGGTCACCCCCTCCCCACCTCATTACTATATCCTCCCCTGTTTTGGACGTGACGCCTTAACGGATGGCTGCCTCAGGTCGTTTTGTTTTCGCCTCGCAGGGCTTTCACGAATATTGTGCGATGATGGTTATTCGGCATATCCGCCATGTACGCGATTAGTTTTTTGGTCGTGCCGGTGGTACAGCTATAGTATACATATGCTTACCTACATACATATATATAGATTATAATGATACCCTCGTGTCAGCAGCTATGCTACAGACTTTCACGGTTGTGACCGTCCGGTGGCTCCACCTGTCGGCGATAAAGCGACCGGTGAAATGTACGTCGGCGTATATAAGACAATAAATGAACGGGCCGCGTCCAAGTGTCAAGCCGAATCTCGTTCCGCCGCTCGTTCCAGCGGACTGTCCGCCGTCCAATCGAACATAGCAATTTTTTTTATAGTACCAATATTATACACACATATTTCATACAGAAGTCCGACATCGAAACCGACGTTTTGTCGTTCACCGCACGAATACGTTTCCAACTCTACCACACACGTCCGTGTGCAGCAAATCGCATTTGTTCCACGGCGTTAGTCCGCCATGAGGACTACCACCAGCACGTCGTTGGGTCTCCTGGCGATTGCATGCCTGATCGCATTAGGTGAGTAACGACAGTATATATTAATAAAATAGTATTGTATATTGTGTTTACAATTACATTGTGAACATAGTAGTATTAATATAGGCGCTAAAGCTACCACGAGGGCAGTCGTTAAAGTCTCCGGGCGAACACGATAATCGTGTAGGTATAATATAAGTCCTTTTTTTAAAAAGGTGGTTGGGTTGTATAGAAAAAATTGTTTACAATTAGATATATATATTATATATGTATATATATATTTATATACATATATATATTTTTATATATATATATATATTCAGCAGTGCCGTATTAAAAAAAAAGGTTGAACAGGACCCACTCGTCAAAGGCATGTGCACTGCTGAATGACTGATGAACTAACGCGCACCGTTTAAAGTAGCTGTTTTAATGACGGTTAATCGCATTTATCACAATGAAGGTAATAAGAATTTAGTTTTTGTTTAGTTCATGTTTGCGATTAGGCCAGCGTTGAGCAACCGAACGATTTATATATACGGCTTCTTAACTGTAGATCTCGATTGCACGCACGATAACTCCAACGGCTCATATATATATATATATATATAATAATTATAGTAAATAATATTAGTAGTTGAAAAGACGGGAACTGTACTCTTTCCACTATACGGCCGAAGGCTGAAATGTATTGAAGACGGAATTAGTCGTTATGCCTCTTGGGCGTTCATAAAGCCAAACAAATTACTCAACGCGGCAAAAACAAAATGCAATTTTACTATTCAAAAGGAGCATCTCCTCTTAGTACGTATAATAATGATGATTGTGCAAATGATGATGGCCAAAAATCGAAATTCAACGGCACGATACCGTTCGAGGGCGTTATGCCTCGTTGTCGATATTTACCAAAACCGTCCTTTGCTGGACATTTAGCATAATATACATATGTATGTATATTAATTTGTTTGTCTGTGTATATAGCTGTATTAATGTATAAACCCCGATCGACACGTTATGTGATAGGTATTGTTATTACTGTAATTTAATGCCTACGAGGTATACTGTACATATTATATTTAAATAATAGTCTGCAGCGCTTATGGCACAACCTTCGAACCGGTACGCACTGCTACCGATGACCCGGGGGCTGGGGTACAGACATATGGTCACGACAAGAGGGGTGGGAGCGATGGTTTTTCAAACAAGTCCGCTCCGGGCCACAGCCTTAAGAAGATTTCACTGTAACGCGTCCTTAGGCACTTAGTACGAGCGAACACACACATCAATTTACTTAAATTATTATTATTAAAAACTCATACATAACATTTTCGTATCCGGGAGTCTCATTTAAGCGGTAACAGTTTTGCTCAAATACGATTATAATATTATGTAGAACTGTCGGGTAAAATGACTAGGTGTTATTTCATGGCCGTATTCAGGGGATAGGTTATTGGGACTCAAAATAAACTATCCATAAAAATGTATAAATTAGTTTTGGTCGTGAAAATAACCATTTAAACCATGTGAACCCTACCCCTTTCCTTCTTGAAAAACGTTGGTCATGTGTTAACGTTAGACTGAATTCAGTATAAAAAAAAGCGTTTACATAACTTTCAAAATTTCTATGGGTTCGTTTAATTTATGTATAGGTTTATAAATAAACATATAATATTATACTAGTTTCGGTGAAGTCAAACTTCGCCAGAGGCGTTCGGATGTAATATAACGTTGGCGGCATAAATAGTGAAGGAGGAGGAGATATGGTTCGAGATCAATATTCTCAGGCTGGTTATCTGATAGAAAGGTTCCTTGGCGTTGTTATTGACCGCCGACGACGGTCCCATAGAAAGTAATCGCCGAGCTTTTTATAATACATACCTATATGTATTATTACTCTTTCTCTGGTCGATAAACAAAACTAGACATAACGTGTATGGGTTTAAAATATTCGCATAATAATATAATATATTGAGCGCGCGATCGTACCGTCTGACCTGCTCGTGAAAGCGGACTTGCTAGTACCTATATAGATACATATAAATAATAAAAAAAAATATTATTACCACAAGTCAGTATGTGACTTGAAGTACATGATCGCAATGTGTCTTGGTGACCGACTGCATGTGAACCACGTCCCAAGTTCTTTAACACCATGACAGGATGGAAACATTAAGAGATTTTTTCAAAAACGAAACACGTTCCTTGCATATCCGACCCATTATTGACGGCGGTTTTCTTTCGGTTAGATTTTTTTTGTTTCTACAATATCAATTCCGGTCATAAATATATTTACGAAAAAGAAAATATCTAACACGTCGGAGAAATAATATTATTCTTCACTCGTTATTTAGGAGTTCTAGATTTTTACACTTTCACACGTCGTTCGTGTAGGCCTATAACGCTATAAAAATAACTAATCGAGCCAACAATAGTACCCGGCCGCTCGTAGCATTTAATATATTATTATTAAAATAACACAAGCCGAATAGTTGTTTCGAATTTTATGTTTCACAATCAGTAGCCGCATTCATCAGCCAACGCATTAGATCAAACAAAACTCTTCTTCCGCTTCGAACTTTAACCTCACTGCCATATTTTCTTCTACATCCATAAAATAGTAGTTGGTACTAATCGAATGTAAGGTGCATATTATTATTGTAATATCGATGCATATTTTATATGTAAGTATTAACAATATGTACTACAACTGAACAAACACACAATATAGTTGACAATTGCGGTGCGGCACCAGCATTATATGCAGCCAGTAGTTATAACATTGGTATGTTTTATGGCTGGAGGTCATTCTGAAAATTTGTCCGTTGTCCGTCACGTTTTAAGCGACATGGTAAGTGTCACAGTGGGAGGATGGCATTATAGAGGAGTATGGAGTAGTATTAAGGAAAAGAAATTGGGCCATATCATAAAATTATGACTATAGTATATTATCATATTAACATAATATGATAAATTGATAATTTTCGTTAATTGGATTGAGGTATGTGGGAGCCAAATCGAGTTTTTTTAGAAATGAAACGTCATATTTTTTTATTAGAAAAATAAGTTTATTATGGTTTATTATTAGTCTTTCGCCTGGTACGTTTTTTCGATTCCGTCGGTACTATATTTTATTTAAATTATGATGTTTTCTCAACGAGCACAATTAAATGAATGGTTAAATTTATCCAAAATAACTGACCCGGTAAATGTTACTAATTTGATAGATTTTGTCTGTGGTCAATTTCAAAAGGGTTTTTATTAAAGATCTCTATAGTCTGTTTTGTTTAATTAAACAAAGATATTATTTTTAAAAACTTATATTTAATTAAAAAATAACGGGTTAAAATTAAATTATACACAGTTGTTCACGTGATGTCGAATCATTTTAAATAATACCCGTCGAAGTAGGTATTAAAACTATCTCTGATAATGATAATCTGAAAAATCAGTTCATAAATTATACTTGTTACGTTCTAAATAAACTACCAAAGAACACGTAAAAAATACACAGTTGAACCAACTAAAGTTATGGTTAATATGCAATAATCAAATAATTCGGACAACTAAATGTTTAGTTAAAGCAACTATTAGTTTAGTTATTTCTCCTAAACAATTTGTTATTAGCCATAATTTTAGTTGGTCTAACTGTATATTTTTTTTCGTGTAGGTAAATTACTTGTTCAACACTCAAAGATTGGCGATCATTAAAAACAAATAATTACTCTCATTGGCTAAAATTTGGGTGTTTAAACACAAGGCGGACAGTGATAACTGATAACAATTAATACCAGCAGTTATTAGGTTTTCGATCAAAGTCAACTGCCATCTTCTAACTTCTTAGTTTACCAGACAATGTAATCATTATATTTTTAGTTGAGTTGTGAACAAGTATCATGGCCTCGACGTTTTTGCATACAGTAGAAGTATCCGTTTTGATGTGTTTTTAGTGGTGTTTTTTGATTTATTTATTTATTTAAAACGATTAATTATGATAATATATTTTTCATACTAATTTATAATCCCGTTAATGTAAATTAGGGTCCTGTGATTCGCTGTTGTCACGCATTAAACGTCAACAAGCGGCGACGAGTGAACCGAAAAAAGAGGAAAGTTTCGAAAACGAAATATGCAAAGACAAAGACGCTGGAGAGTGGTTTCGGCTGACAGCTCAGGATGGCGACAGCTGCCGTGATGTCATTCAATGCACCTCGTCGGTGAGTATATGGAACATGTCACGGTGGATACGTGTAAAACAATATTATTATGCCATCGAACAATATAACAACATTATGAACCTTTTTTTTTTATCGAGAAAAAACCATTGAATCCACCCGAATCTCTCTACGCTTCTCAAAACAATTAACTTGCCAAAAAAAAAAAAAATAAAAAAATTAATAATAATAAATACCCTTCCTCTGGCTACTGCCAATAACTATTATTGCTTCCCGCATAACGTTGGGTTTATGATTTTCCAGGGCTTGCAAGCGATCCGTTGTCCGGCCGGTTTGTATTTCGATATTGAAAAACAAACGTGTGACTGGAAAGCTGCGGTGAAGAACTGCAAGCTGAAGAATAAAGAGCGCAAAGTCAAACCGCTGTTGTTCACAGACGAACCATTGTGCCAGGTAATGATTTTGTAATTATTGTAAATACAAAATGGCTTAAAACAAATATTACTAATAAACCGTTTCACAAACGTGCTAAGAAAAGATTAGTGTTAAATAAAACGAAACTTTATAACCTTGATCTATAATGCACTTATCTTTGTGTGTGCATTAAAAACTACCATTAAACACCACTTGTATTTTAGACACGGTGAGCAAGGTCTTATAGATTTCATAGGCTCAGCACTATTATCTAGTTAAATACTTGAATAACTGATCAACGGTGTCCTGAGCTAGCAAAAAAAAAAAAAAATGTTGACATAAAAAGTTATTTTTATTATAGTACGAGTGATAGTATGGGCGAGGGAGAGGGAACCGTACGTACCTGTGGGTTGTGAGCTATCCATCATTTTAACAAATTCAAAGATTAAGGTCTAGTTATGCCTAAATTTTATAATTTGAATCTGATTACCAGGTGACACTTAGATTTGAAACTATAGTTGAAGACAGAATGTCAATTTTATCCATTAGGTCTTAGACACGAAAACATCTTAAAAACCAGGTTCTACTTAGCACTTGAAGATGTAACCTCCTCTAAAAGTTAAATATCTTCTTAATTAAATCTCTTCTTATGTAAAATAAAACCTTTCATCGATTGGTCGCATATATTGAATCCTAACGCGTCTTCCTAAACATTTTTCATTGTTTCGTTACTAATTTTCCCGTCTCTATTTGTCTATAAATTTAAATTCCTATTGTCTATGAAATTTTACAATAGATTTGTGCATGACCTGGACTTTACGTTGTCTTATAATATTTTAAGCCCCGTCTAGCATATTGAGAAGACATGTTTTAAAGCTCTTAATTTTCTGGGCTCCTTAAACGTTTCTCACAGTGTATTAACTACCTTTTTTAAGTGCTGTCCTATATTGTTATTTTTAAGCTGGTCTTGTCCTGTTAGAGTATAATAAAATAATTTGCATAAACACGATTTTTTTTTAGGATGGAGAATTGTCCTGTGGAGACAAATCGTGTATTGAACGTGGCCTGTTTTGCAACGGCGAAAAGAACTGTCCGGACGGCTCTGACGAAAACTCATGTGGTAAGTCTAGATTCTTGAACTAGAACCTTGATATAAAAACGATGTGTTATAAATTAAAATGTGTTTAAGCATTTTTTTATACCTTTCTTGTCAGATCCGAAAATACCCAAGCTGTTATTTTATTTTATTTCTCAGAATACTGTATTGGATGTGTCATGAAATCGGAATAAATGTTCGGGTTTTTTCCGGACAAGGACTGCCGGTCTCTTGCAATAGCTTTTTTTAGTTGTTACCTATGTTATCGTGCAAAAATAATAAATATTAACATAAAATCTTCAATGCATGCCAATATTTTTTTTCCGATTCGACGACCTTCGACGTGCATTAAAATCAACAATTTTGACAGCTAGCCTTTATGTGTTGCGTTATAATAGGGTACTAATTAAAACATTACATAACTCTGCTGTATTTTTATTTAAATTTAAAAAAGCATAATTTTTCCATTCTATTTATATTCCTACTCCGGCATACTATCAAGTTGACCATTGCCGTAATTGCTCGCTATAATGTCGAGAATGATACTTAAATAGAAGCTTGATAATAAACTATTTAGTTTATAATTGCCACTGAATGGCTGGTAATTTTTAGCTGTCATGTTCAAGCAACTCGATATAAAAGTATAGTTTTGCGTTGTTATCATTGCACGGTTATAGATGTACATATTATCTGAGCGCACGGCAGTGCGCCAGGCCAAGTTCCAGCAATGCCAGTGTTTACACGAACCAATTCACTCAGTTTTTCTAACCCACATATCTCTGTTTCCTATAAAAATAGTGATATCTACATTGTAGTCATATCTGCTATTTGTTTAGTTCATAACGTCACTTCACTCCTTCTTTCATTAGCAACATCGCTCTTTAACTTGTATTGCTTAACACTTAGCCAGTTTCTGAATGAAGCATAAAACATTATTATCAAATGTACTTACTCAGGAGTTACGTGGATGATGGAAAGGAGGGAACTCAGGAAATAAGAAAAAGATTCAGATCCCATCCCAAAAAAGTCAGCCAATCAAAGTAATGGTATCTACATTGCGGCCAAGTCTGTTTTATGCCTAATTCAGAAAGGTCATGTTTCATTTGTGTCTTATAGTATATTTTCATTCTTTTGTCTTACGACAGTAGATATCACTACTTTGATAGAATGACTTTTTTGGGAGGGGGTCTGGAACTTGGCTCTTTTGAACTGTTAGGTTTTTGTTGGTGATTATGTCGTATCATGAAATATAACTAATTTGCAATTTATCACGCTTATGATTTCAGACAGCGACAACGATCCAAACCGAGCACCTCCATGTGATCCCTCGGTTTGTGTCTTGCCAGATTGTTTCTGTTCCGAAGACGGTACCGGTATACCTAACGACTTGCCCGCAAAAGAGGTACCCCAGATGATCACCATCACTTTCGACGACGCCATTAACAATAACAACATTGAACTTTACAAAGAGATATTCAACGGCAAGCGCAAGAACCCCAACGGTTGTGACATCAAGGCCACGTTCTTTGTTTCACACAAGTACACTAACTATTCGGCTGTGCAGGAAACTCACAGGAAGGGCCATGAAATAGCCGTGCACTCCATCACGTAAGTGTATATATTTTCAAAAGTATAGCATATAGCAATAGCCCTACAAAAAACCACTTATCGCTCTTACCCCTAAACTACCATTATATCCAACCGTGCAAAGTACATGACCGCTACTGCCGAATGTACCATGATAAGGTGCTTGAATACTAGACTTAATTATACTAGTTGACGTAACGTTGAGGTACACGTCAATGGAAACTGCAAGTATAAAAATACTACATTGGCTAGTTGTAACTCGAATTTAATATTTAAGAATTAAGCGTTTGCCTGGTGGATGGGTTATTATACTTGTTTAATGTGTGTTTCGACTAGAAGTTGTTATTCGCAATAACAGTAAGTGAGGGATCGAGAGAGAGAAAAGAACAACTCGTGAAAGTAAAATATGTATTAGCTGGAAAGTAAAACTGCCACGTGTAATATAATCCAATAATCATATTATGGACGCAGCGCAAAGGAAAAGGGAAGTAAATTTGCTTAAACTGTGTGTATCCTATTCGTTTTTACAATAATTATCTTTTTTTTGACGGATCTTTAAAATTATTAAAATAAAACAAGCGTAAGACACGGTTTTCCTTGCAGGTGTTTAACTCGATAAGTAAAATAATATAATACACACAACATCGATTTTTCTCCTCCGGCCGACTTCGATAACGTTACTCTTTGCGTGTACACGTCTTAACTATACAAAAACGATTTTTAGGATAAAAAAAAACACCATGCATTGTAGAGTTAAGATTACATGGATCGTGGAAATAGCACAAACCAGTAATCATAGTGTTATAAGGGAATATTTCATATTATACGGAGAGTGGTTAATTTTGTCCATTACGATAGCACGACTCGACTAGTCTTCTAGTGTTAGATTGTATACGATTATGCCACGAGGAATGTCTGTAGAAACAGATACGTGAGCACGTGCGTAATAATATTATAATATGTAACTACAGGGAGACGCAAAAGGTGGTTATAACAAACAACGTGCGTAAGCACACATTGGAAAACCGGAACAACTTGTTTTTAAGCAGTTCGTTTTCATACGACAAATGCTAATGGATTGGATATTGTGTGAAAAACATGCACATAAATATTAAATATAGATGTTCATATGACGTATTTATTATTACCTACGCATATTTTGTAAAAGAGCTTTGCAGTCGAACGGTATAAAATGTGTATCGCATATTATACCGGGTTTAAAAAATTATTATTTATTGTAATAATTATTAGATACTTTATATAAAGGTATAAGGTACACCTTTCAGTAAGAAAACGCTTTGCAAATAAATCTGTCGAGAATCCATTAAGGCGGCTACTACATGTATTATAATATGTACTTTTTGTATACATTAATATAAATGGTAATGCACCAGCATCGATTAGGTCGTTTAGGACGGGTCGTTAACTCAAGTATCATGTTTTTTCACTGTGCAATAGTTTTGATATGAAAAATATACATATTATACAAAAATATAATCTTGATTTTTGTTTTTTCTTTATGACGAATCGGCGACGGGGTTTTTGCTCTCTTTTAGTTCGCGTCCAAGGTTTCCAAATATATTTAATTTGAATTATTATTGTAATATATTTTTTTTTCTTTTACTCTCCGTTGTCAGTTATTTATTTGACTATTTATCAACGTATACATAATATAATTTGTCATGACACGTTTAACTTGAAATCGGTCATTAAACTTTTTCTGCCCGTAGGTTAGACAAAGGTGCCACTTGCATCCAAGTCACGGACAAGTGGTTTTTAAAAAAAAAATAATAATGAAAAATTAGTAGGTGTACCAAATTTTCTGTTGGAATTTTCAATTTACCGAAGTGTTTGATCCACAGTTATGTGGAGTTAAGTTCATATGCTGTTGCATATTACATTGTATTTATTATTGAATTTTGAATATGGTTTATTGTCGTATATTTGTGACTTCGAAACTAAGAAAAAATATTGTCATTTTTGTCTGTTGACTGTCGGAGAATTCTGCTTTGCAATCGTTTTGTTCGCGTTGTTCACTTTAACCGATCGGAAATTATTCAATTGGTCGAGTAAACCTGTCACGATTGCTTTATAAAAAAATAATAAAACTAAAGCGTTCGCAATAAAATTTGAAGACCGTTTAACGATTTTATTGTGTGTGTGTACAGAAACAGAAAGTTGTTTGTACCGTATTATGATAGTCATCCCATTCTAAAATTCGTTTTCCGTCGCGACAGGCGATCACAAGTGCTCATCGATGGTGTAACAGTATATTAACATAATATAATACACATAATGTAATTCATCCTTTCTACATTTTTAAGTTAATTTCCATCAGAGAAGGTCATAGTAGTATCAATCGGAAGGTGACGATATTGATTCTACACGGTTGCGTAATAAAGCGCCATGCTGATGACTCGTACAAGATTGCAGCGTGCGTTTTATTATGTCTCTCAATGTTATTTCTTTATAAACAAAACAAAACTAAAGATTACAAATTTTCCCTAACGTATAGAGGTGCAAAGATTGTGCGGGAGAAAGACGGAAGTACAACTTTAATTAGGTCACGCTAACATAATAATAATAATATGTGTACAAGACACAGTGTTACCTTTTGTCTTCGATCGTGATGTGCGGTTTTGTGCGAACCGCTAGAAAACAAAAAAAAAAACAATAAAATTAGCGAAAGGAGAACGTTAAAAACTATATATGTAAATATAGCACTGTAAATTATATCACATCAGCATAGTGTCTTAAATCTAAAACAAATAGAAATGTTATCTCATTCTAAAACATTTATAACATTTTGTGGTTACCGCGAACCCCTATTAAGTACGTTATTCACTAGTGCCAAAAAATATAATTTGTATGTATTATTTTATAAATATAATAATATACATATCATATAAACAACTGTATTGCACTTGCAAGTAATATATTGTACTCTATAGAGGTTCGCGGTAACCACACAATGTTATGAATGTAATGTTTTAGAGTAAGATAACATTTCTACTTGTTTCAGATTTTTGACACTATGCTGATTTGATATAACTTATAGTGCTAAAATTTAATATAAACATTAACCTTAGCTAATCGAAAAGGGATAGGATCTGTATAAATTTAGGCATATTAGTATTACATTAGTATGTATCCTCATTACAGCTGTTATTAGTATCATCAATATCCGACGGATAAAATCACAGGGCACTTAGGCTTTGCTTTCGACTTGTCTTCTTAACTTACAGCTCTTGGGTTGCACAATGCACTATCTTGCATCTGACCCTTACTTCGAATCTCGGTGTTTCCAATACCAGGTTTTTTTTCTAATATATTCACTTTCTGTGTTTTCAGGCACAATGACGACGAAAACTTCTGGAGCAACGCCACAGTCGAAGACTGGGCCAAGGAGATGGCTGGTATGAGAATCATCACAGAGAAGTACGCCAATTTGACTGACAATAGCGTGGTGGGTCTGAGATCTCCTTATTTGCGAGTAGGCGGCAACAATCAGTTCACCATGATGGAAGAGCAGGCTTTCCTGTACGACTCTTCGATCACCGCACCCTTGTCCAACCCGCCGCTCTGGCCATACACAATGTACTTCCGCATGCCACACAGGTAAGAGTATCTATTTTTTACACCCACTGACATAATATTAATACACTGACATATTTTCATAACGTGTCGATATTATCGACACGTGGCGTGAGTATTTTTAAATACAACTGTCGAGTAGGCCGATAGGTACGTCATCGTGGTCAAACCACAAACGTTATTTCACAGTAACGCTTTCTATTGTTTGGAAAACGTTTAGCCTCTTCTGCACAACACGCATGTCTCTCTCACAAGACTATGATAGTTTGCCGGTAGTTACATTATTAAGTAGCTCGATCGACGCGTCCAATAGCCGTTTGAATATCAAGGTTTCGTTTTCGTGATGCTGTAGTGAAGCGTAGGACGGAACATTCAATTTCTAGATACATTCAAAGATTACATTAACGAGACGTTATTCAATCGGCGAAAGTTATCGAGTTTCAAGGACTCGTGGGCGCTCACGCTTCGAATCTGGTTTTCACAACAGCAATTCAAATTCAACGGCAGTAATAAGCGATGGTTTAAAAAAAACAATTTTTTTTTTTTTAATACTTTAATGCTGAGTTGCACAAAACTTTATTTCGTTCCATAAACCGTGTTTGGACCAATCACAGTGTTCTAATGAGGGTTTGTGGAACTAATAAAGTTGTGCGCAGCCCAGTATAAATATTTAAGACTGTCACTATCTTGTCGCATTTACTTTTTCTACATTTTTAAGCCAAGACTCTGATGGTTGACGTAGGTGTCATTATGTACATTTTACTCTAAAAAATCAATTTGCGACTTTATACTAACGGCTACGGCGTGTGTGTGTGTGTGTGCTTTGCTTTATTTTCTATGATCACAGGTGTCACGGTAATCTGCAGCACTGCCCGACTCGAAGCCACGCCGTTTGGGAAATGGTGATGAATGAACTTGACAGGCGGGAAGATCCGAACTTCGACGAGTACCTACCGGGCTGCGCCATGGTCGACTCTTGCTCCAACATCCTGTCCGGTGATCAGTTTTACAACTTCCTAAATCACAATTTCGAGAGGCATTACGACCAGAACCGTGCGCCCATGGGTCTCTATTTCCATGCGGCCTGGCTGAAGAACAACCCCGAGTATCTGGATGCATTCTTGTTCTGGATCGACGAGGTGTTGGCCAAACACAGTGACGTGTACTTCGTCACCATGACACAGGTGATCCAGTGGATTCAGAAGCCGCGGATCATTAACGAAGTAAAGAACTTTGAACCGTGGAGGGAAAAGTGTGTAGTGGAAGGGCCGCCCGCCTGTTGGGTGCCGCATTCGTGTAAGCTGACCAGCAAAGAGGTGCCCGGCGAGACCATCAACCTGCAGACGTGCGTCCGGTGCCCAAACAATTATCCGTGGCTCAACGACCCCACCGGAGACGGTTTCTTCTAAGTCACACGCACATTGTTCCCCGATCTCACACACACACAGACACAGACACACACAACACAACACTCTCATGAACCATTTTTTTTTCTTATTACTATTCTTGAAATTCTTTTGATCGATGAATCTTATTTTCATTTCGTCCGTTCGACAAACACAAAAGACAATGCATTCGGATCAATTACTGTGCCTCCCGACCGCCCTCCACAACGCTCCGGGCGTTCTTTTTGTATTGTACATATTTTATAATCCGAAAATCATAATTACTACGTTATTCACCTGCAGCAACAACGATTTCTATAACATTCATTATAATTATATTATGTACACATGTGTATCGGGTTTCTCAATTAACTGTGATTGTTTACTACTACAGACTACTTACTACTACTACCACTACCACTGACTGGTGCAAATCGCTGCTGTCCACTGTGACCAGACTCGTTGTGCGGCCGTTATAATATTGTGTAACCGCCGTCTCGTGCGACACGATGCTCGTTTTTTTATATACTTGTACAACAATAAAACAAAATCATTGATTTTTATTATGATTATATAATTTGTATTATTAGTGCGTTTTATTATTATTTGATTATTATTATTACCTATAAAATAATATAAAGTGTCTTTTTTACTGTCTCGATTTGAAGGAAAAAAAACCGACTTGCTTATTTCGTACAATCCGAGCAACTGCTTTTGTAAAATTTATATAAAACCTTGTACCTAGTTAATAGTAAATAAATTATATATTATTAATATTTAAACGGCTGTGTGTGTTTATGACTTAGTGCGTCCGTCCATCCGTTGATGAACTAAATAATGTTGTTTTCTAAAGAAGTCAAAAATATACTTCCGTTTCTAAATAGACAGGAATTTCTAGCAACTGGTTTTTTATTCGATTTACCAGGGAAATGTGAATATACAATTCAATAAAAATTATTGGTGGTTTACACAGTACTGCCTATGTCAAACTCTAATTTTAATTATAATTCAATACAATGATTAATTTACACTTCCACTCAAATGTGTAATTAGAAAAAAAAAACACATTCACACAACGAAAACGTGGTAAACGTTTAATATTAAGTCATATAAGTCCAAAGGTCATAGTAGTTATTACTGGAGAATGTTTAGAAGTGAAGGTAAGAAATTGGAGGTAATGAATTAAGTATAAAGATTACTGTTAGATTATAGAAAGAAACTTAATTAATTTTATAGCTTATTCGACGCCATGAAAAATATGTTTAAAAAAATGTTTGGAAGTCCATTGAAATTAATTACCAAAGATAAAACATAATTACATTGTCAGGTATTCAACGAAGATAATCAGAATTCAATAGAGTTTTATTTTGTTTTAATTATCGTTACCGATTTCCGTTAAGAAGAAAGATTGTTCATCATGGTTAATTCATTAGAGCTAATAGTTTATTAATTTTATCAGTAAAGGTGCTGTAATTTTTAACGGTGATATCCGACCAAATACTACCCAACCTACCGCAGTGGCGTATTAATAGGAGGCGACCGGGGTATTTATCAACCCACTGTTTGGTTTTTTGTAAAAAAAAAATTACCTATTAAACATTTATTTATTCGATATGAACGATGTAATCATAGAAAAATTACTGTTGAAGCAAAATGTTCTCACGAAAAATATTACTATAGTTATTTAATAAATAAACTTAGGGCAGTCTATATTTTACTAATCTTTTTTATCAAACAAACGTGTTTTGATAAATAGCGAAATTAAAAAAATGTAAGTACTTAAAATGTATATGGTCTCAATGAATCTTGAAAAATAAGGACAAGAAGGGAATTTTACAAAGGGTTAGGAGGCAACATTTTTTTTTGTTTATCACACCCTAGAAGAAAATTTTAAATACAACACTGATCTACCGTACGGTTAACACATTAAATAAATTGACGATAATCATAAACTTACGGTTGTGCACATGTATACAAATCTTAATAGTTAACTACCGGCATAAATTCCTCACGCTGTACCTCGTAAACACATTGTTACCTAAAGCTTCAACGTCACATAACTGATGGAAATGCTCCAGTAAGCTATCACTGTGACTATAGATATCACACATTTATTTAATACATAAAATATATCATATTAGTAAATAATACATTTGAATTTCTATGAAACATATTAATGGTCAACACATTCAACACTTAATATTTAAAAGTTTGTATAATCGATTTCATATTTTTAGTAGATGTCCACAACTTACACCGTTTGTCATATACATATTGTTTAAAAATATATGTTAAAAAATGGTGAAAGTAGCAATAAACCATAATATAAATTATTAACTATAATTCACGTTTTATATGAGTCAATGTTTTTTTATAATTGCGGCTTACCTTCGTGTTATAAATTTAATAGAATTGAAACCTAAATGTATTGGTGTAAATATTTATTGAATGCAACATTTTACACTTTTAACAGACATACTTTTTAACTTATGTCGTTGATTAATTGTCAAGAAAAGTGCTTCAACAACTTATAGAGGCTGTTTATCGCCCGGGTAATTATTTGACAAGCAGTTGCCAATAGATTGATGTCATTGTGTGATGGTGGCAAATACCTCCATCCAGAAATTTAGACAGAACACAAACTCAGATAGTACCTATTATTATTATTATTATTATTATTATTACTATTATCATCATCATTATCGTTCGGTAATTTAGCTAATAGAAATGGGACTGACATCCGAATTTCTAAAGTATCTAGATAACCGAATATTTAAATCCGGATTTGACGGATCATTTAGTTATTCGGATTTATTGCAAGTTTTTTTTAGTCCAATTTAATTACTAGAACTGTTTTCACAAAATATGTATATACTTATACGTTTAAAAACGTTTATTTTAAACATTAAACGTAATAATTAACATACAAATCCGGATCACTCATCAAATCCAAATGTTGATAAATCCGGAATGTCCCTCTTATGAAATTCGGATACCCCCATCGCTATCAACTAATATGATTTAAAATGTTGTTCAGATTTTATTTTAATAAACTTTTTTGTAAATTGGTCGAGATTTTTTGTGAGTACCGGTTGTGTGCTGTTACAATGATATTATAATATGCAGTGTACAAGTCAGATGAGACTCGGCTCGTGTATACAGCATAAGTAACATTATAAATTATTAATGCGTCGCATGAGGTCGTTAGTATTTTTTTAATGCGGTTCATTGACTTGGGCCAAAGTAGCCGGGTCTATGGCGACGACTGCGGTATACAAATGACGGTCAGCAAGTGGATCAAGGGAAAGAAAATCAGCGGGTCAATATCATCGATACCACTAACGTGCGCGTTCACAGAATAACAATGAATGAATGCAATTATTAATAACATACCTGATGGTAATTGTTAAACGTACAAAAACTAATGCGGCGGTGTCCGCAGGCGGTTTACTATTGATCCGAAAAGTATTCCTGGGGTTTCACAAAACGTTGATTTAACAATGTTGAACATGATTTTTGGACACGAGTGAATAAATTCAAATTGACTGCAGATCTAATAAAATCGATTAAGTCGTTTTTTTGTTGTAGGCAATCACTAAAAATTAAGTGAGCTTTTAATAACTTATGGCCGTGAGTTTAAACATTTATTGATACTGGTTGAACTCAATATAGGAGTGTGCAACAACGATTAAAATTCTGTTGACCGTCGTTTGTTTCACTAACAAAACCGGATGAACACAAGTACGAGTAGTCATCAACTAAACTATTTCACCATATTATAACTTAGCATAGAACCATGGGATAGACTATGTTTATATTTAAACCGGTCGACGCACGCTAGATGTTTTGTACATAATACATAACTGATTGATAATTATAATATCAATTACATTTTAGAAAATGAAATACACCAAACTGTTTAAAACCCAATGCCTATATTTAAATGAGTATATAATGGATTTTGGCGAAACAACTAAATGTATATTAACTTTGATTTTGCAACATACATGAGAGATTACAAGAATTTTAAACTATCGTAAAGAAATATCATTTTTCAGTATTTCAATATAACTGGTTTCATCTCTTAAAATAAAATATGTACAAAATAATAATCATACCACATTTTATTGCTAATGAAATTGAGTAACGTGCAAGTATAAAAAATTAAAACTAAAAATAAATGTATAATGATGTAATACGGCATATGTATTAAATTATATTAGCATACAACCTTTTAATCTTACAAACATACTTGTTAATGTACAGTATATATATTTTGACGTAACCGTTTATTTTGGTTTAGACAATGAATATTATTTGGTATAAATAATCAATTTAGAATATATTTATCATTTTAATAAATGTAAAGTTGTATATTTTCTTTTGTTGGCAAAATCAATTAACAAAGAAATTTAAACATGAAGTATACAATTTCAAAATTAAACAATCCAGCAATAAAAAATGATGATGATGATTAATGAAGCGTATTATGGCTTTGTAAGCTGTTATTAAACTGCCAACTCAAAAGTCCAGAGCTGTTAGGTCATATGCATTTAAATGCTCTTGAAATTGATGCGCGTGTGTCTGAAACTTCTTATGTTTCACCTACCGACGAGATAAAATGTCAAACGTTAATAATAATGATAATAATAATATTGTTATTTCTTTACTTATTAGTAGGGCAGAGGACTTGCAGCTCTAAAAAACACTAAATATGCACTATTTATATGCTTTAACATTTTTTTTAATGATTTAATTAAACAAATTAATTACTTTAATTAAAACATTTAAAATAAGAAAAACAATTAATGACTAAATTAAACTATATGTATATGCTATACTATGAGTCCACGACCAATAAAAGAATAAAAACTTTGGCTTAATGAAACTTCTACTATTTATTGACTTAATTATACTGTAATTAATGTATAATTTATTAAAGATAGACATATTGAATAATTGATTTTTTATTTTAATAATTTGATATTCATTCTTCTGACCCTAAAAATAAATTTCCAATATTTTAGACATTTTTTACTGCTTATTGTTTTGATAAATTATTTTTAAAGAAAATGTTCGAAAAAATCCCCCTAAAAAGCATATATAACTTAAAAATGCCTCAAAAAGCAAAAAAGACCTAAATATGCAAAAATATGCAACATAAAATTACAGATTTGACTTTGTCATAACCTAAAACAAATTTCTTTATGGTTGGCTTTTTTATACGGCTGCGCAAAACAAATTTGCAAATCCTAGAAGTCCTCTGCCCTACTTATTAGCATACACGAATGCGAATTCGTCACCGTGCAGCAGTTCTTTAAGGTATTGTTCGATTGCACGATTCAAAGTCCCACAATCGGTTTACAATACATTTGGTACCTACCTAGCTGCAGAATATTGTGGGTCGTGACATGGAACGCTTGATGCCAACATGCACTTTATTGTTATAGAATTAAACTGCGCCGGATGCATTACGAGAGTCAATACCGTCGGCATACAGTGTATGGATTTGCCAACTGCCGCACCTCGAGTGCACCGCTATTATAGAATTGCACTATTATAGTTTTCATAAGCATGTTATTATAATACGCTTATGAAATCGCGACAAGCGAATCGATTTTAAACGAGAAGGCGCTTTCAAATTATGTGTATAGTCGGTGTGTAGTATGTATCAGAAGACTAAAAATTGAAAGTCGAAGTCGTTGCGTTGGCCGGCTTAAATAAAATGCGGGTTTTCGAACTCTGCAATACATCATTTCGAATGGGGCCGTTGCTTCAGTTG